AATAATAGTGTAAAGATATTACCTACATACCTCTTGCTAGTTTGATGATTAGTAGTATTCAATATATTTTTCGTATACTCCTATTGTTTGGTATGTAGTATTTACTTGGCACCGACTTCAAAATTATAAAATAGTTATTAAATATTATTTTATATTTAACTAAATGAAAATATGTATTACTTTAAACAAAGATCAATTTATTTTTTGCTTTTTAGTTTACGTTTTGAAGTCGGTTTTTTTTTGTTAAAAATTATTTTATTTCACCATTTTAAGTGATAGGCAGAAAAAGCTAGGATGCTTCTCAAAAGTGAAGATGACGGCTACTTGAAATCACGGTAATGGCAGTCCTGAGTTAGTCAGCTTTCAGTGCCGTAAATCGTTGCGGAATTCCCTCAAATGTCAATGACCTCCATCATCATGTATACTGCAGGCCTTCATTATACATAATCTACATAGGTGCAAAGTTCTCATCAATATAAATGAATGAAGTCCAAACACATTATAATTACTCCAAATAGTCAAAGAGATCCCACGACGGTCTTCCGGCTCCATCATCACAATTTACTGCATAACTTCATTGTAATCCATAAAAGTGCAAAGTTTTCATCGATATAAATGAACGAAGTCGAAACACGAGGTAGTTACTGTAAACCGTTCAGGAGTTCCCTGAGCTGTTCTTTTGATCATCATCAGACCCTTAATGACAGTCACGACCAATCTTGGTGCAAAGTGCTCATCAATACGAATCATTCAAGCCTAAACACAAGGCAACTACTCCAAATAATCAAGGAGATCCCTCGACTGCCTTCCGGATCCATCATCACAATTTACTGCATAACTTTATTGTAATCCATAAAGGTGCAAAGTTTCCACCGATATAAATGAATGAAGTCGAAACACGAGGTAGTTACTGTAAACCGTTCAGGAGTTCCCTGAGCTGTCCATCGTTCTCATCATCAGACCCTAAATGACAGTGACGACCAATATTGGTGCAAAGTACTCACCAATACGAATCATTCAAGCCCAAACACAAGGCGACTACTCCAAATAGTCAAGGAGATCCCTCGACTGTCTTTCGGCTCCATCATCAGGTCGGGTTCGAACATCGGCAAGTTGTCGGGTTGGAAAATCCTCATGGAGACCCACCGCCCTCGGGGTAAGGGCGAAGGGTACTGTCAGACTCTTACTGACTAAAAACCAACCCGGTGTTCCTCCAATAACCCATGTGTCGGAGGGGCGGGTATCGCCGAAGCATTCGTCGCAACCCCCCGACGGGTATTGGCCCGCCAGATGGTAAGGCGGGCCCCGTCACCCACTGCGGCCGTCACCCCGACTGCAGGACTCACTATGAGGCGCGCGCGGAACACGGCACCGCCGCCTCGAGGCCTGCTGCTGGTCGGACGACTAGACGCCCCGAGTCTGTCGTCAACAGGCCGCGCCCTACGGTGGCCGCAGGTCGGCCACTCTATGACGTCTAGTGCGTCTGCTGCGGGAGGGAAGAGAGGAGGCAGCCTCTCTCTCCCTTTCCGCCGCCTCCTTTGCGAGCATCACGGCCTCGCAAAAGATAGCGACGGCACTCCACCCTGACTCGCTCCCGACCATAGTAGACACTACAGCCGGAAGCGAGAGATTTCCCGCAGCACCTACGGCCGCGACCAGGTCACGGCGCTGCTCGGCCCAAGCTGGACATTCCGCCAACGTATGCAGCGCCGTATCGTCGCGGCAATTACCACAATGGTGGCACTGAGACGTCGGCTCCCGGCCTATGCGACACAGGTACTTCCCGAAACACCCGTGTCCGGTAAGCACCTGCGTCAGCCGGAAGCTGAGGGCGCCGTGGCTCCTATTGAGCCACTCCTGTAGAATTGGCCTTACCGCCGCTATAGCGGCGTGCCCCTCCAGTACTCTCCACTAAGCTGAGTCAGTCCTTCCTATCCAGTCTCTGCGAGTCACCTTACGGATCTTCACTCCATCTCTCTAGTCGCCATTTAAGTACCTACTTACTAGGTACTTTCAGTTCTAGACGCATTCTGAAGTCTTGTCTTGTCTACGTACCTCTCCGGTCACTTTAATTAGTAATCCTTTGTTCAGGCTTTGTCGTATCTCAACATTATGTACTCACTGTCTATATATTCACTCATATATCTGACTAATATTATAATGCTTGGACGGATCTGAATGAAATTTGACACAGTAATGCATAGGATAAACTTGCGAATAGGACATAGGCTACTTTTTATCGACATACCACGCGGGCGAAACTGCAGGCGGAAGCTGATTAGCAGGTCACTGATTTTTTTCATTAAACAAAATCCTACTCGCACTACTTAGGTAAGATTTATGATAGGCGCGACTCATAATAACATTTTAATGACCATTCATTTTGATCATCAGTTTTCAGCGCCAACGTAAATATAACCCTTCACTAATGGAAAATTACTGAAGGATTATAAGCCGGAGGTTAAGCAGCCCGCTTCTCATGCATGAGGGTGTGGGTTCGAAACCTGGCAAGTACCAATGTGACTTAGACACCACTGACATACAGTGAAGGTAAACATCGTGAGGAAACCTGGACTTATAATTTCTAATTATAAGTTTGAAATCGCCAACCCGCATTGAGCAAGCGTGGTGATTAATGCTCTAACCTTTTCAGTATGAGAAGAGGCACGTGCTTTGCTCAGCAGTGGGCATTAATAGGCTGATGATGATGACTAATGAAAAATGCATTGGTTTATGAGACTGAAAACTACAAGAATTTAACTTTACTAAAAGTGAAATGACAAAGGAGATTATATAAATTTTCCTTCGTTAAAATTTTATTCAGATTTACCTACCTAACTTATATTATTTTTATCACAATTAATATCAATCACATTTGGCTAAAATCTTGATGACTTTTTCATTATAATTGGAAGTGATTCTAATTAAACAATTAAATTGATTAATGCATGATGAAATACCGCAAAAAATTTTTTGGACTGATGTATTCAAAATTGTCTTATATTATTATCTCAAATTAATTATTATATCTATTTTTATTTTGTGCTATCAGAAGTGTATATTTTTGATACCTATAATTTTATCATAAGCTTCCTTTTCCTGCAACTCACTACTCGAATGTCCATTATTATTTTAAGCCTGTCTTTTATTCTTGTACTGTGTTCTGTACTTACCCTAATTGTTCATATATCATAAGTAGGTACTTTTTACAGAATATTACGAGTTAGGTGGAAATATTTATGCAGCCATAGTATACGTCTAATCCTATACTATGAGGGGACAAGGAATTGTTAAGTTAGTATTTCTTGGGTACTAAACCAACCTTTACCCAATATTAATAACTAACGACAATCTCCATAACTTTTATTTGATTATGCTTTGATTGACATGTATAAAGTCACAAGTTTTCGCAGTAGCCAGAGGGTCAAAGCGCCCGCTTCTCATGCATGAGTACGCGGGATCGAAACATGGCAATTAGTTACGGTATTAATGTGACTTTTACAAATTGATATGTACTTTTTAAATTTGGACCTACGATGAAGGAAAACATCATGTGGGAACCTGGACTTATAATTATATAACCTGCAGTTTACCACGCCTTGAGTAAGCGTGATGATTACCTAATGTGCCTCATGTCGTTTTGGAGTTGGTTACTAAACCCTTTAAAAAAAGAATCAAATAGGTACCATAATAAGTTGGTTCCGAAATAGTCAAATAGGTTCTAGGGACCATTTTAAAATCAAACCAATTATAAATTAAATAAGTATATCTACTTTTGCAGTCTTAAACGCAGTTCGACAACATAGATGGCGTTATCAGCACAATGGTGCAAGATCTCACGGTGAAATACTTGACACATCAACAAGTTCATTGCCAACCTATACGTGGAGAGCATCGTGGAATACCTGAACCCTACCTTGAATAAGTTCGATACCTGAAATATTATCACGATCTTACTAAATGATTAAATACTTTGATAACAACATCATTTGTGTAATCATTTTTAGGTACTTATTCTACGTATTAGGTAGGTACGTTTTGCAATTTACTCAAATATTATTTAATTATCCGCATATGAATAACTAGGTTCCGCCGGCAGCTTCGCTTGCTGTTACCTAGATCAAAGTATCCCATAGGTACTTTACCTACCTCTGTGGTACCTATATATGCACCTAGCATTATGTAAATACCTCAATATATATATATACCAATACAAGTATGTAAAAACTTTCATTTGATATAAGAAGGGATAATAGATAAAAAATGGAAGTAAGTACGGTATAAGTCTCACATTGAATTTTTCAAAAGGCTCCTCCTGCCCAGGGTACATCGAGAGGGAGTATTAGCCTCTTACTGACTAAAAACCTCCCCGTTCCTTCTCCTACTACTTATATTGCGCTTGACCGGCGGCCTCGGAAAAGCATTGGCCACGTTGACCCCCATCTGTAATGGTCTATTGGCTCTTTGAGGCGTACTTAATCCGTCGTACCTACCTACAGTCAGTTTACAATGATCCACCAAGTCAAAGGACAACGAAAGTATTCTTTGAAAATGGAATGAAAAAAGGTTTTTCAGCCAAACTGCTGACGACATCCCAGGCTGGTATCCATAGACTAAGTATAAGGCCGTATAATGCTTATTAAACATCAACACAAAATAAATACAATTTCAATTAAAGTAATTCTTTGTAAATTATATTGTAATTTATCATTAATACATATTTATGTAAATCAAAGGAGATATAAAGCTAAATCAAAGTCGTTACTTCGATAACAGTATCTTTAAAGTACCTATCTACGAATTACCTTCTCAACCGATTACAGCTCCCTGCTTAGGTATCTAAAATTATAAAAAAAAAAAAAAACAATAGAAGGTGGGCAAGCTACTAGGGACGCAAATATCGATAATGAACAAGATAAATATTATAATAATATAGTAATTAGTGATTATCGCGTAATTTAGTAGTTGATATTAATGATTGATGAACGAAATCAGTGGAGATCAGTAAGATTACGTTCCCCTTACAGCGTGCCTCTGAAGGGACTACAGTAAGTGTTTGACTGTCAAGAAAACTAGAAGGTAAGTTTTTATAGTTAAAGTTTTAATTAGAATCTAACAATTTTTCATAATTTAATAGGTGCTATTTATTATATTTTAGTCATACATATTTTATTATATCAATTAGTGAATCATTATACCACCTTATATAAGTGCCCAATAAACTTTTCTGGCACTTTATTCATACAAATACCGTTCTATATTCCTAGGACCAACATGTGGCTACCCAGAGATTGTCAAACAGGCCATTAGTTAAACTACGAATATGACGATTTCATACAAACCCTCTACAATTCGATTGGAACGTATTTGTTATTATCATAGAAATACTTTCACCAAATTCATATAACATTTACTAAATACTCAAATGATGTACTAAGTGAAACGACAGAGTTCTAAGTTTACACAATTTTTCAAGACTCGTAAATGGAATCCTACTTAGATATTATTTAAATTTAGAAGTCTTACTCAGGTACACAAACTAAATTACTAAAATACTGTTCCTCCACAAATTAGGGCAATGGACTAATCACCGGCGTATAGGTACGTAAGCCGACATTAGCATCGAACATTTTTGAATTTCGAACTCTATAACCGGAATTTTAAAAAAAAGGTTGTGCATAGGTAACATATTTATAATTTGGGCCTTGATACGATCTCGATTACAACTACGTGTATCTACATAATTACACAAAATGTTAATGCACATCATTATTTACGCTACCTTGTATGGACATAAAATATGACGTTTCTCATTTTCAGAATGAAACTCGTACTGGTGTTGATGCTGTGTGCCTTGGCGGCTGCAGCTCCTAAATCTCACAAACCTGTGCCAGCGACCCAAGTCGGTAAGTGCCCATCTATATTAACCGACTTCAAAAACGAGGAGGTCTCTTATTCGTTGCGTATTGTATTTATATGTATTTTAACTAGATTCTGTCGCGAGATTTCACTCGCTGCTCGGCTCCTACAAATCGTAGCGTGATGTTTTATAGCCTAAAGCTTTCCTCGATAATTGTACTAACAAACATAAAAAAATTATTCAATTCGAACCAGTATTTCTGGATATAAGCGCGTTCAAACAAACTTTTCATATTTTATAATATTAGTTTTTTAATATGTAGATTGTAGTCGTAGTTGATTATCAAATGATTTCTCTCACCCTGGATGGGGTCAGAAAGAGAATCAGACTCTTACTGACTAAAGAAAAGGGATTACACAATTTGGCAGAGATCGGGAAAGATAGCGCTCTGATAAACTCTCCTCTCCTCAAATAAAGTCTTGTGTTTCATTTCGAGTGAGGGGGAGTGTCAGACTCTTACTGACTAAAAACGCCCCGCGGTAGGACCCGCAACCCCATAGGATCAAGAGCCCAGGTAGTGTTTTAGTTAGGTATCAACTTCCATTTGGCCCATCAATCCCTGATTGCCGACTGAGGATTCTGATTTAGGATGAATTGCAAATTATTTATTTACGTTTTTTTTTGGAACAGCAGATACGTTGGAAAGTCGCAACTTACTGGTGAACGCCTTGGTCCGTCAGCTGATCGCGTACGTTCGCTACGTCATCAACAACGGTTCTTCAATCTTTAACATACCTCCTTTGGACCCTCTGGACTTAGAGAACTACCATCTCGATGTTCCTGCTGGTCTTGTCAAGTAAGTCATGGACCTTCGCAATAAGAAAATATATTTAGGTACCTGTGACAGCAAACGACAGGCAATTCTCAAAAGGAAATGATATTTGTTCTGTAGTGTGAAGTGTTAGGCAGTTGTCTTTTTGACTATCTCAATGAAAGCGCCTGGTCTTTAATATTTTGGCCCATAATTATTTTAATTGTAGCTTCCGCCCGAGTAGTATGTAGATAAATAGCCTATGTATCCTATAGCTGTGTCGAATATCATCCAGATCCGTCTAGCCGTTTTGGCGTGATTGAGTACCTAATAAACATATAAACATCGTAACTTTCACATTAATAATATTAGTAAGATCAGTCTGGATAAGTAAAACAAGGACTAGAATATTTCTGACTTAATCATTTCTTTCCGCAGCTTGGACTTGGAACTTTCCAAGATATTAGTGACTGGCCTCGGTAGATTCGTGGTGCACAAGAGTAACCTGAACCTGTCTACCCTCACCTTCGACCTTGACATCTCCGTGCCAATCATTGAGGCAACTGCTGGTACGTACCTACTTTTCATATCAGTCTAATAATCTTTCAAAATTAAGAAAAATACAATTATTTACAGTTTACTTTTCTCATGTCGAAATGGCCGACTAAGATCTTTTTTGTAGACGGAAATTAATTAAATAACTGGGGTAGGGTTAGAGATATAATCAGATTCTTACTGATCAGTCTTTTACTCATAAATAATAGGCTCATTGAAAACCTATTAAAATATGAGGAACATTATGTGGTAATAATATTTTTTCATTACAGAGGAGTACGACCTTCTTGGTGATCTCTTCACAGCCATCCCTCTGTACGGAAAAGGAAAAGCTTTGTAAGTATCTGAATTCATAAACAAGTTATAAAATTAAAACAGTAATGCAAAGATTATCGTCTTTTAAAGAAAAGAAAAATTGTACACTATTTGTTTGAGATAGCTTAAATAAAATGATGACGGGTACATAGATATGCTTTTTATATAAGGCACTTAATTATTTGCATACTTATTTTTGCAATACACTACTTAAATAATTATTTCCAAAGCAAACTAGTTTTTTTTAAAAAAAAAAACGTTGCTCTACATTAGAATTTTCTCCTGTGTCGTGGGTGCAGTTACAAATGACACCCAGACCCGGAACAACAATTTGTGGATCACACGAAGTATTGTTCTGTTCGGGAATCGAACCCGCGACACGTTGCACGGCAGCCAGTTGGCCGGCCACCGCACGACCGGTGCAGTCAAAACTATTGTGTTACATTTTATTAGTACCTAATTACCTAGGTACTACATTCTATGACCACACCACTCTTAAATATACAAAGCCTGGGTCTACCTAAATCTAAGTGTCCTCTATATAAAAGGCGGTTTTGCGCGGTATTAACACACCATAATGTGTATTTTCTTATCACTTACAGGTTCCAAGTGGAAAACTTCAGGTTCCAAGCTAAATTATACCTGAAACAGTCCGACGACGAGAAATCTGTGCTCATCGACAGAATCGAGAACCCTTCCTTCCAAGTGCCCAACTTCAAGGTAACAATAGTTAAGACTATTAAAAAAGAACATACGTTACATCACACCCTTAAGTAAATCTAGAAGGGTTAATTATATAAATTCACCACTTTTTATTCAAATTGAATAGTACCTACTGAATTATTTATTCAGTTTTATGGCAGATTTACGTGATATTACTAAGAAATTACGATCTCCGAAAAATTACATTAATTGCGGCATTCTTGCTTACCAGTAAATGAGCACTAATGTTTTGTCAAACTGCGTCATTATAAACCGCAACATATTTTATTAATTAGGTAACTGTTGTTCTTAGTTTAGATGCGACTAATTCTTAGTATAAATGTAATGCTTTATCTACAATAAAAATATTAAGGTACTTGCCCATTCATCAAAGCCAATTTAAAATTTCAGTCGGTATTGACCGGAGTCATCGGTGGAGGTGAAATCGACGGTATCGTGAACTCTGTCATCGAAGAAGTCGTTATAGACTACGTGAACAGATTCCAAGGAGCCATCGGCAAGACTGCCGCCTCCCTTGTCATCTCAGGGCTCAATCCCCTGTTGGAGCAGCTAGATACCTGGCGTTACATCGCAGTCCTTATACCCAGAAGCCAATAAACCGACCAGTATTTTTCTAACACACCCTGTACCTGCCTAAAATGTTGCTTCCGCAAGTTCCTATGAGACGATAAAAGAAAATAAATGATCGACTCGATTTTAAGATCGAAGAATTCTAATTAATTATGATATTAACACAATTAAAATTTATGTTTATTTATTTGGTGATTTATTTATTGCCCGTACCTATATTAATTAGAGACCTACAGCTGTAAGTACAGTTGATTAGGCAATTTTGAATTAATAGATAGTAGATTGCTACGTAAAATACTTATTACTTTGTCAATAAAATTCAGTGATAAAATAAAAGATTATCATATTATCAATTTGTTTTCAATGTAACATAATATGTGCGGTAGGTGCCTATATTCATTTTATTAAATATATCTACGGTAGATACTATTTATTCTTTTGTTGCAAGCAATTAAAGTTGCAGGAAGTCGAAAGTAAGTTGGTAAGTATCTATATGAATCTATAAATAAAACGACACATGATTGTTGGATGAATTTATGGAATTACCTTTTAGTCAAGTCTTATGCACTTATACAAGCAGATCCGGAAATAAGTAGATACTTAAGACGTAAAATTTTAAAATCGTACCCGTTGCAGTAAACCTTCTATTTTCATGGATCCGTTGCACTAATTGTCGTAATCCTCATACCAGACTTCTCGGCAGACACCATTCACGTCCATTTGCAATCCATCAGGGCATTGACCCCACATTGGAGAATCGTCGGCGAAATAGGTCAAAGCGTTACTTTTCTTTATTGGCCTCGGCCGAACTCCTTTTACAGGGCCCACGACGTTAGGCCGCGACCACACTGTGTACACAAACAATAAGAGAATCAGGAACAATTTTTGGTACATATTGGATTTTTGTCACAGGCGACTGTTCGGAGACAAGCGAAGAGACTGAGGATTTGGCAATAGGTATATCGCGTTTAGATTATGGACTTCCTTCACCCACGCTACCGGCTGCTGTATATGATGAAACAAAACTGTTATTATCTGACACAAAAATGTTAACATAATATTATTTTTTCCTAAAAGTTTGATGACTTCATTTATATTCTTTGTAAGCGCGTAGGTACTTACACATTTTGCTGATGTGTAAAACTTCGACTTACTTTCCTTATTTTATTATGATTCATTAGGAAATTTTTATTTTAGCAGCATCCGTAAGGCGATTTTGCACAATCACAAAATTGTAAACAATTTTAATATTTGCTCACCTCATTACTAATGATTAGGTACAAATGGATTACAATTACAAGCAGATGCAGAGATATTTAATTTGTATTCAATAGTATTTTATTTTTTTCGGCAAACGAGCAGACAGATTACCTGATGGTAAGCAATCAGCGCCGCCCATGGACACCCGCAACGGAGGAGTTACGAGTGCGTTGCCGACCTTTTAGGGATTAGGCATTTGGAGATTTGGGGATTGAGGAAGGATTGGGCCTCCGATAACCTCACTCACACGGCGAAACACAACGCTGTGGTTGTTTCACGCCAAAACATTTCACGTATTCGTTCCAAAGCCTATTTTTATTACTTTAAAATGACGAAAACAATTCTATTAATTTTGTTACATTTACAAGATGTAAATGTAACAAAATCTATCTATCGCTATCTATCGGCTATCGGTCTAAATCTTGGAATATTTAGTTAAAATAGAAGGTAATAAAAGATATGAAAAAATATACAGAAATTTCGGCACCCAATTTCTAACTGTGATTATTCTACAATAATATCATTGGATTGAACAGCCGAAATAATTCGTTTTTAATTTGAAGATTCTGAATTTTGCAATATACTATATCTACATAATATGTATGAAACTATTCTACATTAGACTTCTTATGAGATAGGCCGGCAATCAGACGGATTACCTGATGGTAAGCAACCACCTGCAGCACCAGAGGAATTACAAGTGAACTGACGACCTTTCGGCAATTACAGTTTTAGAGATTATGTTTATGGGATGGGTGGGGATGAGGGAGAAGACTTGGCATTTGCCACTGATATCTGTGTGTAAGTACACAGCAAAACACAACGGAATTTTATGTGAGGCTGTAATAACAAACCTGTGAAGTTGACCCATTTGTGCCATAGCATGGCTCTCCCCACTAACATAATATATATGTATAAGTACTACAATCATCAAGGGAGAGGTCTTTGTCCAGCAGTGGATATTTTCCGGCTGATGATGATGAATCTGCATCAAAATATTGCCACAAATACCAAAACCAATTTCAATTTTGTAATAGATTTATTAAACTTTTAAAGCACCAACTTTGTTTTAATAACACTAGATTCCAATCTTTGATTGTACATGTGTCATGTTATAATTAAAGAAATTAACTAATATTATTTAAAAAAAAACATGTTTCATATTTTTCAACACCAAGGCAAATGGTGATTATTACAAAGTTTTTATCTTAATTTATTTCTAACCTTTTACATGTCAGTACAGTTATATTACAGTGTATAAATTTATAACAAAATATGTATATTTATGTATCAAAGCTTTATACACATAAAACCTTACCATTATGTACTTAATCATGCATTACTCAAAATATCACCATATTTGTGACATTGGTACTTAAATATAAAAGTTTTTAGACAAAAAAAAATAATATGAAATGCCACAATTTTAACCTATTCAGACTATTTCAGACTTAGGTTATTACAATATTTGGTAAGTAATAGGAGCCTGGTAGCTTGACTTGATACATGAAAATTTCAAACAATGATAATAAAAAAAAAAAGAATTATTTTCTCAGAGTAATCTGCAAGGCAAGACTAAGCTCTTAATATTTACAAAATACTGTAGCATAACAAAAAATAAGAGAGAACATTATAGCGTTTCCTTGGCACGGATTCCCATACAAACTTTCAAGTTCAAAATCATGGACCTGCAACTTCTAATCTAATTTTAATTAATCTTGAAACTCCGAGACATTATTTCGAAAATGCCCTTATTGAAACTTATAGATGTGTTTGATTTGTATTGTATATAAGCATTAACTTTCTTTAAAATCAGTTGAATAGTTAGGTACCATAATTTAGGACTCAAAAATTTGAAGGTATAAAAACCCTTTTAATGATTTGGAGTTTGTTGCCGATCCCGCGGCGGAGGAGGAGCGTGGCGTTCACGAGGTGGTGGAGGTGGTTGACGTTCCCTTGGTTGAGGTGGAGGCAGAGCGTTAGCGCGACGAGGAATGGGCGGTGGTTGTCGAGCTCGGGGCTCGGGCGGCGGTTGACGCTCTCGGGGTTGGGGAGGCATGTGAGCTGTCGGATTCATTCTGAAGAAATGCCATAAATTAATTTAAACAATTAATAATGTGATTTTGCATTGGGTAGATATTATGATGATGCGTTAAGAATTTCGTAAATGATAAGTTTAGTAGAGACTGTAGCTGATGCACTCTAGTGTTACTTATTTTGTAGGTACCCTTAAATTAGGTTGATAATGATAAAGAATTGTACGTACCTTTTTATGACGATTTAAGTTACTGCAATGTATAAATAATTTAGTACAATCAAACTGAATGATGAAATTTTAGATACCTAGTGTATTAAAAATTACGGTCAAACTTTAAAACACGTACTTTGTTAATTTGATTCATAATTTCTTTTGTTCGTGTCGTACATATTTACATTAATATATTTTATTGTGTATTGTTATTTTTTATGCCAATTATGTCAATGTCATACGTATGTCATTAAAATTGCAAACGTTATTAACAGAGATGTGCAAGTGTGCAACTGAAACTGGAATCGAATGGTTACCTACTATATTGCAATATATCGGTCTCGAATGTCTCGCTAGCTAGAGAAATACATTTCAATACCCCCTAGCCTACAATGAGTGAGCCATTAGATCTTATATATAAAAATGGATCGCAAAATGTGTGTAAGCGCATAACTCAACAACGCCTGGACCAATCTTGCTAATTCTTTTTTTGTTGTGTTTATTATTTATCAGGAGAAGGTTCTTATGAAAGAAAATATTAGAAAAGTAGAGGGGAGAATTGGGGAAAAGGGACCCTTTCATTGTTAGCGAGATAGTTGGACCCGTGCGAAGCGGGGGTGGGCCGCTAGTTACAAATAAAAATATAGGTATTTCACCAATATTTCACAGTGAAATACCTCAAACGAGCGGCATCGTGGTGGCCCGGAGGTTAAGGGGAGAGTCCGAACCCTGTCAAGTAGTACCAATGTGACCTATTCCGAACTATGTAATTGCCTTTGGTAAGAAAGTGTCAAAGTGAAAAAAAGAGATATGTCTTAAGAAATCGCCAATTCTACGAGTGAGATCAGTAGGCTACGAGTCAATTATGTAAAACAAGGAAAACCCTTTATTCATTTTTTATCAGGGGAATATCATTAAATTGTTTTTCTCGCCCAGGATGAGAGACAGTGTCACTCTTACTAACTAACCCCGCCCTCCCCCTGTACCTTCTCCTGCCACGTCATTCGGAGAAGATAAGAGACTGTTACAGAGTAGGGCAAGGGGGACTCGTCCTTTTACCCCTTCCCGATTATACTCCCGCCAATGATATACTGAACTGTGTACCTTCGCCTCGCATGCGTTTCTAGCTAGTACAAACGCTAACTCTCCTAGGACATTGAACTACCATCACGGTTTTGAACCGCACAATCCCCCATCGTATCGTAAGAACACCTACAAAAAAGAGGTTCTTAGGCAATGTGACCTCCAAATGGGAAGTAGCGTTCAAACTGCGCCATTAGTGCATATCAAATGAGGAATAAAGCTACATCGCCAGTCCAGCACCAACCCCAAGGACTTCTGGTTCACTCGATGGCTTCATCGACCGCGATATAATGGATAGTGCACGAAATTTAAAATTTACCGTTTTAGTAAAATGTAAATTAACGGAGATAATTGAGAAATAGTAGTGATAAGAACTTTTATTTATGATATTATGATCAGCATTGCAAAAACAAGTATTAATATTTTAATGTATTTATTGCCTATCCCCTATTTTAATAAATGCCTGAGGTAAAAATGAATATTTGAAGATTTTAAAAATGATATTTATCCTTTTGAGTAATTACCCGAATAATCCCATCACTATATAGGTACCACATAAAAGAAAAATTAAATTTTAAGATCATTCATCATTTTGCTACTGTATGAGATCAATGAATCTGCGACTCTATTTAATCTGTTTTAAAATATTGCCATTAGTTAGTGCCATCTGTTAACTAGAAAAGAAAACAAAAACGGAAGTACCACGATGGTAAAGCAGTTCTCATCTAAAATTACATGTAAAGATGTTGCCACCTTGTTTGATTTCCCGTTATTTGTGGAGTTTTTTTAATTGGGGTTAGTTTAATTCCTATGCATATTATTACTAAATTTACTAAAAGAAAAGTAAAATATTATGATTTATTTACGTAAGTTTTTTAAATAGTTATAAGACAGTATTTTAGCCATGTTGGAAATATATTTTTATCAGCGAGTTGGTCATTTCAATTGTGAAAAGGAAACATTGACCGAATGAGTGGGAGTGAACGAATGAAATTAAAGCGAGATGCTAAATAATCAGTGAAGAACAAAACTACGAATGAAAAGTGATTTCGGAGAGAAAAATTGAAGCCTTTTCATGTGATTTTGTGAATTTGTGTTTGTGCAAAATTCATTGTAGACTGTGTTTGTATAATATTTTTGGAGCAACGTTCCCAAAAAAACGTACCGCTTGGTAGTAATATGAGTAATGTTACCAACCAAAATGGAACAGGTCTAGAGCAGCAGGTCTGTACCTCATGTACCTATGCACTTAGTATCGATTTTTCCAAATGTGCATGGAAATATAGCTGGAATTTACACTATTCAAAGATTTGTGCCATGGACTTAAAGCGTTTCTAATTCATGAGAAGATCTCATTTTTTGATGAAAGCATTGATCTGTAAAATCACAATGCTTTACGTGTCTCAGATTAACCAACATGGCGACTCAGTTCTTCCACTTTTATGGTATCTATTTCATTGATTTTGTGAAAATTCCATAATGCACACATTACCACCATGTACTTGTAACACAGTAGTTTTCCAAAGGCACTTACATCTGAGGTCATTGTCATGCTATATTTGCGTGTCATGGCGGGAGGAAATTAAAGGTTTCGCAATTAATATGTCTCTACTTCGGTATCAGACATGCAAATATGTAAAAGCATTGTTATAATGTGATAGTCTATGTATAGTTACACTAAATAAGTATAAGTTTTTATTGAGAGGTTTTATCAAAAGGCATTTTGTTATGCCTGTATAGGCAGCTAGCATGTCTAATTTGCTAGGTGAATGACGATATAAAGCAACAGTGCTGGGTGTTGGTTAGTTAACCAATAATTTTAGTTTGCTATCATGAAATTGCTTGATTTGATATTTTTTATTACATGAAAAGTTTTGGTAGTATGAATGTAATCTATGAGCACATTGCATGTTAATAAAGGCAGGAGAACTGTATTTTTCCATATAAGTAGTTACACACAGATTTTATAGTGATTGTATGTTTATATAACAGACATGTAATGTTAAATATTCACTGTATCAAATTACAGAAAGTATTTATAAATTGTTTTATTTGAAACAAAGGAACATGAAGCACAATCATTAAATCAATCTGTAAAACTCTGTAGTGCATAGCTGTAGCAAAATATTACATTTATTATTTTGCAAACAAATTTTATGAAATGTTTAAATCATATAATATTTAATTCTAAGCAATTTTGTTAAGGGCTATATTTTTCATATTGACCTAAGATCAGAGTTACCGAAACAACATCTTGAATGATACATTTTAGTAACAAAACACTTCATTTCCTTTGTCTGAAACTTAGTATGTATACACCCCACTCGGTGTTAGTGACTGAGTCCCCAATACTGTCTTCCTACATTCACCATAGGTGTAACTACTGAAAAAAATGACTATTGAAATATTTTCATGATTTGGATATAAAATATTTACTTATTCTAGCATCTAGTTATCTTATTATGTTGTTTTAATATGTTACAGCTTGCTGGTCTGGACTTGCAGCCTCAGGCTAATAAGAGTGCTGGCCGCTACATCCCCCCGCATCTGCGTAGGCAGTTGCAGGCCAATCCTTCACAAGGTAAATGAATCAATGTGATACTATTCATTGTTTAGCATGCATTGTCACATTTGCTCCTGACCTAATAATCATGCATATTATATGTTAATTATGTGTAGAGCACCTATTTAATCTATTTATAGCTAGTTAAATCATTTGTGCTCAAAATAGAATGTTTCTTATCCATTGTATTTTCTTAATGCGGAAGTTTTAAATTTAGAGGAGAGTATTCATTCAAAACTTAACTCTACTTGCAGAATGTAAAGATGTAAATTTTATAAGTCTATTTTTCTTTTTGTACAGCCATAAAGAAAAAAATTATTTATATTATCATTCATTCATCTGAAAAAACATTTTAATATCACTACATACTATAAAACAAAGTCACTTTCTTTGTCCCCATATCCCTATGAATGCTTAAATTGTTAAAACTATGATCAGATTTTGATTGCAACTGTAAACATAGACTGACTAGTCACCATTACAACAATATTTTGTGCTAACTTCACTGTACAGACATTAGCATATCATAAATTATGGTATTACTGTAAAAAAGATGAAAAATGAAAAAAATACAGTTCTGTGTCATGTGTTCGGATTAACACATTTCTAAGTCGAGATTTTTTGTAGATACTCTCTCAAGGACAAAGATCATTCAGTCAGAATGTTTGACTGTGCAATCGTATGCAGTGTTTGTGTTGAGCTAGAGAAAGCAATAATAGGGAGAGTGTAACTTATTCTTTTATGAATGGATGTTATCTGCAGGAACTGAGGTGGTTTACGTCCTAAAACTAGATAAAGAATGTGTGTGTGTGTGTTAAAGTGCCTTGACGCATTCTATGCAAATACTCGCGACACGGTTGCAGATTTGCTTATGAGAACATGACCTGTCGCCTCAGCTGAACATTTGTTGTTGTAGAATTGAAACAATGAATGCGAAATGTATCAATGTCTCATACAAAAACATGAATTCAAAATATAACTGTTTAGTCTAGCACAAGTATAAATAATAATAAATGGCTATATGTAGTTCCGACGTCGTTATTTCGATTTGTTCACGCGAGTCGAGTAGAGGTCAGCTTATAGTGATATCATGTCCCTATTTTCTGATTTATGAAACAGGAACTTTGTATGACTGTCGTTATTTGATTATATTTCTAAGAAAGTAGGACAATGATAAAAAAATTAACATTATTGATTTTATCAATACTTTTGTATTCTGGTTATCTGGTATTTTGCCCTGTTTATTGCTAGTTGTATGTAGGCTGAGATAGTGCAGGTATTGAAGCAGTTGTATCGATTAAACTTAATATAAAGCGAAATATCTCCAACTACTAGTGAAAATTATACAAATTAAGGCTATTTATCAATTAAGACTTGTAATATTTACATCCAAGAAGTTCACTAGGGAGGTAATATGTTGATAGCATTACAGTGGTCGGTGATTAATTCTGCATGTATACATCCTTTGTAGAAACATTTGATGTTATCACTTCAGGAATTACACAAGGAGCTTAGTCATCAACATCTCAATGGGCACCTTTGCAGCTATTGTTAACTGTTTGTTTGTTTCACCATATTTCATAATATTTATTGAACATTCTTGTAGGTATAGGTATGACATGACATTATATTAAATCGTATGGTATGGTCTCTCTGAGCTTATGATTAACTGATAAAACAGCTATAATCTAGTGACGTTTCTCTGAGCATGAATTACATATGCACACTAAACGTGGAATAAGAGTAACATCGTGTGGCTATAGTAACAAGATCATCGGGTCAGAAGACTCGTAGTTCGCTGCATCACTTACTAATAAATTTGTGCAGGGGAAGAGTCTAAGCGTCCAAGCTTAGACGCCCGTTCAAACGAACAACGGGACGGCCGTTCATCATTCGGAGGCAACTCTAGAACCTACGACCGTGGTGGTCGGCGCGACGACCGCGAACGTGACCGCGACCGTGACTACGATCGCGGCAACGACTCGCGATTCCCGCGCAGAGACCGCGGTATGTGCCCATGTCTTCAGGTACTCATGTGTCTCGCTGTACACGCTTGGCACATGTAATAACCTCACTAGACGGTGATATCCACAATCTTATCTCAGCCTCTGTTGTTATCTACGTATTGATTGGTATTTCTTAAGTGGCTATATAAGTAGCACTTATTGTTATACCAAGTTCTATGTTTCAAGTTTCTTTAAAGTGCTGGAGATCATATTTAATATTCTTTTATATAATGGACATTTACTAAGTATGATAAGAGACTTCTGTGCAAGTAGTTAGTGACGGTAAAATTACTATTAAGTATCCTTATTAGAATTGAGCTAGCCTGTTAGGTTGGTAGAGGCTGTCTTGGGTTTAGTAATCAGTTTAGTTCATTTCGCATTAATAGATTCGTTTTATTTAGGTCGTGATTCAGGCTATCAAAATGGCGATTCAGAGCCACAACGCTGGTCGGAGTCGTCAGAGAGATGGGGCTCATCGGGTGGCGGCGGGCGCAGCTCGGGCGGCGGAACGGGCACGTCGAGCCGCGAGTCGCGCGACGTGCGCCGCGACGAGGACTTCAACGAGCCACCGCAGCCGCGCAACGACCGCTGGAAGGAGCCGGAACCACGCGCTGACGACCGCAACAACTCGCGCTGGCCCTCCGATGATGTACGCCGTACGAGCAATCGCAGGGACGAGGTTGGCCATGAAAACAATTCAGTCAGTCGAACTTTATTACATTTATATTGGGCGGGTTGCACACAACCGATTTACGCTTTCTACTGCTTGAAGTCACCACAGAACAATCACTGAAATACTCAATTATTAATGTAATAATATAATTAATTTTGGAATGCTTATAGCTTTGCTTTAGTAGCTAAATTTCAATATACTGTATTATAATACTGTAACTGTATTGGCAACATACTGGTTATGCCATAAACAAGCTTCTTAGTAACTCGCCCCTTGCAACTTTGTCCACCTGATGAAAGTTAGACATGTAGAGCAAATGATCATGAGAACCATGTATGTTATAGAATGATTGGACGGTCCCGCTACCTCGCGACGAGCGGCAGGAGTTGGAGCTGTTTGGCACCGGTAACACAGGCATCAACTTCTCGAAATATGAAGACATACCAGTTGAGGCCAGCGGTGATCGCGTCCCAGACTTCATCACCAGTGTATGTAACAAAACTGGCAGCATATAGTTGTATTTTGTTATGAATATCATATTAATATTTACTGATGTGTTTTTCACAGTTTGAGGATGTTAACCTGACGGATTTAATGCGCCAGAACATAGCTTTCGCTCGTTACGACAAGCCGACACCAGTCCAAAAGTATGCAATCCCCATCGTGCTGGCCAGACGAGATCTCATGGCATGCGCACAGACAGGTTCTGGAAAAACGGCCGCCTTCCTTGTGCCCATCCTCAATCAGATGTACGAAGCTGGGCCTGTTAAACATATGGGGTGAGTATTCCTAGCCAACAAGTACTCCTCCTATACACATGATTGATTTATGACGAAATGTTTTTGTTTTACAGACAATGTGTGCGACGCAAGCAGTACCCGCTGGGCCTGGTGTTGGCTCCGACGCGCGAGCTCGCTACTCAGATTTTCGATGAGGCTAGAAAATTTGCCTACCGTTCCCGTGTGCGACCTTGTGTCGTGTGAGTTTGAGCTTGTGGTTTAAAAAGTAATATCTTATGTTAATTAAACTGTTTTATGTTATTTAATCTGTCTGATTTCATATTTAGGTATGGCGGTTCCCCTATACACGAGCAGTTCCGCGAACTGGAGCGCGGCTGCCACTTGTTGGTGGCGACACCGGGGCGACTGGGGGACATGTTGGTGCGCGGCCGTGTGGCGCTGGACCACTGCCGACATCTCGTGCTAGACGAGGCTGACCGTATGCTGGACATGGGTTTTGAGCCTCAAATCCGCAAGATTGTCGAGAGCCACATGATGCCAAAGACTGGCGAGCGCCAGACGCTCATGTTCTCGGCGACTTTCCCTAAACAAATTCAAGTGCTAGCGCAAGATTTCTTACATAATTATGTTTTCCTTGCTGTTGGACGCGTCGGTTCCACATCTGAAAATATCACCCAGAAGGTAATATTTTAATACTTAATTAAAAGAATTTAACACAAAACTATCAAACAAATCTTTACAAACATTTTAAACTTGCAGGTGGTATGGGTGGAGGAAATGGATAAGCGTTCTTTCCTATTGGATTTGCTGAATGCTTCCAACTTACTGCAACGTGCACGCCCGGAAGAGGATCAACTGATCCTTGTATTCGTTGAAACCAAGAAAGGTACATTTTGAGACTGATTTCTTGATTAAATGAAGTAGTTTGCTATTATGTTGAAAATAAATTGAAGTCAAAGCGATTCATTTAGTCCTTACAACGCGCAAAGAGCACCGGTCTCCGAAGCAGGAGAAAGCGCGCTAATCACCAACCCCAGGACAGACTATTTTGACCCTTCAAAATTGAATCTTCCTTCAGTAAAGCTTGGCGCAGTAAATCTAACCTAACCTTTTTTTGGGGAAAATCATGAAATGACTTCTACCGCCAAGGGTGAGATAAGAGGGAGTGTCACTCTTACTGACTAAAACCCTCCCCACGTTCCTTCTCCTGCTCTAGGACGAGGCAGAGGTCGATGCCTCATTGCGCTTACCCCGCAACCCCGGCTGAACATCAGCCCTGTAGGGCCCTGTCTGTAGTGGTCTATTGTCAAATCTAACCTAGCCTATCCTTTTGCACAGGTGCCGACCAACTGGAGGTGTTCTTGGATAACCTTGGTTACCCAGTGACGTCAATCCACGGTGATCGATCTCAGCGCGAGCGTGAAGAAGCATTGCGCCGGTTCCGTACCGGACAGACACCGATTCTTGTCGCTACAGCCGTCGCGGCCAGAGGTTAGCTTTCCTCCTGTAAAATTATAAAATGCTGTAACTTCGTACAAAATTAAGTGATAGAGTTCTATGGATATTTATGAAAAAGTATTTGAATGCCCTTGATGATTTTTTTGTTCTTTCAGGTTTGGACATACCGCACGTGCGTCACGTGATTAACTTTGATTTGCCCTCGGACGTTGAAGAGTACGTGCATCGTATCGGTCGTACCGGCCGTATGGGCAACCTGGGCGTGGCCACGTCCTTCTTCAACGACACTAACCGTGGCCTCGCGCGGGACCTCGTTGAGCTCCTCGTTGAGGCAAAGCAGGATGTGCCTAAGTAAGAATTTTCATATTTGTTAACAGTGGTAGCACCATAAATCAGAATAAGATGGCGGTTTTTAGAACAATCAGTATTCTTTATCTTGCTCATTTTTAACTTGAAGTGTCAAATGCTTCACTTAGTTGCATCTTTAGCTGGAGGATTTGCCAGCAACATTGTCATGACGGCCATTAATTTAAAAATTATTAAATAATTTAAAAACAAATTTCTTTTTCTAGTTGGCTGACGAGCACGGCAGCTGATGGGCGCCTTGGCGGCGGCGGACGTCGGACAGGAAGCAGGTCTGGCGGGGGACGATTTGCAAGCAGCGGCAGTGGCTTTGGCGCTAGAGATTTCCGTACTCAATCGCGTCAGACTCCACGGTCGGCAGGGCCATCTACTATTGGCTCTGGTCAGTATGATTATATTAAAATGTGCAAGAATAGTGTAAAAAAAATTAAATAAGCTTATTCTCAAATTGGCCGATTTATGTTGCAGGGTTTGGATACGGCGGCGGGTCGTATGGCGGTAACTATGGCGGGTCGTACGGCGGCGGCGGCGGCGGCGGCAGCAGCGGCGGCCCCGACTGGTGGGACTCGTAAGCGTCCGCTCGCACTCCGCAGACCTCGCACCGCACGCGACCCCGTACTCGACCCCTTCATTCGTAACTTAAGTGATGTGAAACGTTCTAGATTAATATATTTTATTTTAATTCGTAAACTAATAGTTGGACTGAAATTGACCTGTGACTATTTAATATGGTAATGTTTGTACAATAGAAGAGAGCGGTGCGACAGAGAGATGTGTTTGGGCGCGGTCGGCCGCGGGCGCTGAATCTCAGGTGCGCTGCCCGATGGTCCGACCGAACCTTGTTTCTTAACTTCATACTATCACATAGGCATGCTTAACAAATGTCTGTGAACATATTCCGCGAGAATGGTAGTTCGCGATCATTAATGAAGTAATCGATTAGATTAAATTTGATCACATGTATCGTTTGCGTCACGCGCGACGTGACTCGCACGCGTTTTGTCTTTTTTAGTAACGATTATGTGAAAGTAGTTTATTAATATAGAAATATTTTTGATGTCCGATCTGTATCGTGAATTCGTAAGTGAACAATGTAATTGTGTATTTTCGATTTTCTATTTCCTGAAGGTCTCATAGCTGAACTCACTCATGACACTGGAATTTTGAAGCATTTACGCACTCTAAAATCGATGTAGCTAATGGAGCAGTAGATTTAGAAATTGAAAAGTACCGATACAGTATCATAGCAAATAATTACAAAATTTTATCAGTAGAGATCCCATATTGTAATATCTGTCTTCGACGTGATCTATTATTTGAATGTGAATTTACCAATAAAAATTAAGAAACAGAATCATTTTGTTTTTATAACCACTCACCTGTTTTCAGTAATGTCTTGTTTCAACAATATGATAGCCAAAATAATAAATTTTACAGTAACAGTGTAACAGTGGCCCAGTGTGCTAAATTTGTACGTCACCTCAAGCATCATAGTGGTCATAGAAAGGAAAAAATGGTTAATATTAATAACATTTCGGTCTTGTAGGTATGTTGTATTGCTCTCATTTATATGGCTCGGATAAACACCAGCTAGATATATTATAATGCATTGAGAGGCGTGCTAAGATGCTCGCTCGCTAGTGGAATCCCGACTTCAACCTCAAACTCAGCTGCGAGCCTTTCGGTTTTATTATCGGATAGATAATTTCTGAGAATGTTCGGGGCAGTGCCTCTGCAGTACACATCCTAACAAAGGAATTTTGAAAACTTCATTGGTTCACGGTGGATATCCCACCCACCGGACGAAGCGAATCGCCTTCAGTTTCATAATAAGAACCGCTAAGGAGTGAACTTTTTAGCCGGAGTCTGGGGGTATAACCTTGTCTTGAAGGCCCGAGTAAATATTAGCTTATGGGTAAGTGGGCTCCATCATAGGTCGCAAGATTGCTTACCACCAAGAGTGAGACAAGAGCGTTCAAGGGAGAATAATATATGTGTGGAGTTTGTTTTTACCAATTTAAGTAAGTCCTTCTTTAGTGCGGAAAAACATTAGGTAAACAGTACTTTGAAATAATAAAATAAAAAAAAGAAACTGCTAGAAATAATACATTTATTTTTGTAACTTAAGTAAGTAAAATGAAGGACTGTCAATAAAGTCGCGGCGCTAGCGGCATAAAAATCTGAAACTTCTCGTGATTATTTGATGTCCGTGGCGAGGGAACCACGGCTGCCAACTCCGTATCCAGACTGCACTGCTAGTATCTGCACATTGTTCTTTGTCGCGCAGCACGCAAATGTCAGCTGAGACCATCATCAAATCTTTCGGCTATTGTCTTTAGGTCCTTGGTGATGTACTCTAACGTTTTTGCGGTGGTGCGGGGTAGTCGTGAATTTATTTTTAATTTTTAGAAGCAGGGCCTGTAATTTTGCCATTTTCTCTCAAAATTCTTGCTCGAGAGAAATCCCATCTCCGACTCTCGACCGTGCTCCTGAGGTTTGTCGCCTTGACCTCCTTGATGCCCTTTAATCCCTCAAGGATCTCGTGGCCCAGCCGTTCTTGTGTATCCTTTGCCTCTTTGTGTCGGAGAGGTTCGCATGCGCATGAGGGAAAGCTCAGCTTTGAGCACTTTGGTGCCAAGGTAAGGTAAATGCGCTCTTTTGACCCGTACCTACAAGCTTTTGTACTTGTCAAGAGCGCTCCCTTTGGAGATTTTTTGTGGTGCACTCTCGAGTCTGCCAGCAACAGCATTACTTCGTCCAGGCCCTGCAGTCAGCCATACGTGGTGGACTTTCATTCTCTCTTCATGTTGCCGGCGGCTTTCATTGTCCTTTTGGATAAGCTTATTTTCCTCTCTTGTTGCCAGGTCCATCCTAATCCAAGTGCCACATTTCTTTGTGGTCTGTAAAGCATTAATTTACGCTCAGGACAGTCGGCATATCCCGTAGACATAACCACAACCGTTTTGTGATGATCTGACGCGGGGGAAGAGAGTGTGTACCGCCTTTGAGGCCTGCAAAGCATCTGATGGATGCGCCGCTTCTTCAGAAACTTTTTGAGAGACGAGACGTGGAGGCTGTGGATTTGGATGATATCACTGGTCAACACTGGTTTTGCCACACGAACTTTGATAGCTAATTATGTTTTATCAATCTACCCTCATTATGAAATCACAGTTGCCATATGTCAATTAGCCTCCTATATGTTGTGATACGGTAATACTCATTAACTAGTACTACGGCAGTAAATTAACAGAAACGCTTAAAAGTTAATCGTTATAAAAATATTTATCGTTGAATTTGAACACTTTTTGGGATTTATTAACCCTGTGAGCATGTCAAGGAAGTTTAATGATCCTAACTGTTTTTGTTATGTCTGCGGAGAACTTACATTCAAAAAACAACGACGAAATTTTACAAATCTTGTGATGGAGTGTTATCACCAATGTTTTGGTTTTTCTGTCGCCCATCAAGACAAATCCTAGGCCCCTCATGTCTGTTGCATAACGTGTGTGAAAAATTTAACTGACTGGAAAAAAGGTGCACGACCTATGCCGTTTGCTGTACCCATGATATGGACTGAACAGCGAGATCACGTTTCAGATTGCTATTTTTGTCTCACTGACGTAAAAGGTATAAATTACAAGAAAAAAAAACACAGTTATTTACCCTAATTTATCTTCGGCTATAAGACCAGTCTCTCATTGTAAAAAATTGCCAGAACTAATACCAGTTGCAACTACGTCTGTTGAGAACGACAATTCACAACCGTCTACTTCAAGTGTAAGTGATGCAAAGATAAAAGAGGGTATTTTTGTTGGCCCTCAAATTAGGGAGTTAATAAAAGATTCAAGATTTGAAGAAAACTTAAGCGATTTAGAAAAATCAGCATGGAAGTCTTTTAAAAATGTTGTTGCAAATTTTTTTGGGTAACCACAAGAGTGACAGCTACAGAGAGTTGGTTAGCGAGCTGTTATTGTCATATCAAGCATTAGGTTGCAACCAAAGACCTTGTACTTAAAACTAGACTGTGCACCAAATTTTTTTGTTTAGCTAAAATGTGCTTTATCCCGTTATGTATAGGGTAGCTATTTTCATAAAAGCGTTAACAAACTAAAACCGGTCCAGGCGAGAGGGCTCCTCACGGTAGTGTGTCCTTGTCTCACATCTTGCCAGCTCAACTAACCTTAGGGGTTGGTAGAAATGGTAGAAAATTAAATATAATTATGTTTTATGTTTTAACAAAACAAACAATTCATAAACTACAAAACGTATATAAATGTCTTTATAGTCCTTGTAATTAATAGTCAATTTGCGGTATTATACGAAAAATCATTAATACAGAGTAAACAGTAGTACTTGAATGTTTGTGTTTGGTAACAATTAATGCAAGATGGCGGTTTGCTGATTTCGGGTTAGGGTAACAATGAATTTTCTCGATCAAAGATTTTCTTACTATATCGCAGTAGATAGGCAGAAGATACGACTAACTGTTTTTGTCCTTTGTGTCCTTTTCATTTTTTATTTTATTATTTTAAAGAACTTACCAATGATACCAATGATATTATAAGTAAACAGGTGTAAATAGGTTATATCCCCTCAGCTGTGGCGGCCATTTTTCGCGATTCGGTGGATCTGTGTAAGCACTTCGTGGGTGGTCCGCGCGATACCGGCGCGTGTGTTTAAAATTACAATATCTCAAACCTTTTGTATAGAAGCTTATATAAAGCTTATATATTTGGAATCGCAAAGAAATAAGCTAACATAAAAAAATATTTGAAATCGGTTGAGCTACTATTTTCCCAGTTTGGTACAAAAGTCGTTACAATATCAAAAATAAACAATTATTTTTAAAAACTTTAATTTTCTTCACTTATATACATGTGACTTCACATTAATTAGTAAAAATAAACACTACTCGCCATACATTTTTTTTACAGAAACAAGCTTTAAAAAAACGCCTCATTTAGGAGACTACTTTTTAAACGTCTAGTATCTGTCACAAGTGCGTTCTAGAGACTTAAAATGTGAATTTATGCATAGTTCTTGTTCTTTTTCATACACTTCGTGCAAGTTAGAGCAGGAAAGGTACAGATTTACGTCATTAAACGATAAAATAAAGCGACGGGTCGCAGCGGACTCCAGGAGCGCTGTACACAGATCCGCCCATTTTGACAGAGGACTCCTGGAGTCCGTTCCACAGCTGAGGGGATAAGCGTCCAGTAAGTGTTACATTAAAATGTGGTGAAATGTAGAAGCAAATACGAGACGTGTAAGCTGGACGATCGTCTTTAATTAAGTGTATATACCTAATAACTTACACTACTTATGGGGAGAGATCTCACACACTACACCTTCCCCGTTTTTTAGAAAGTAAAAAATATAGCCTAAAATACATTATTTCTTATAATAAAAACTTAATAAACATTTACTTTAAATATTCGCACTGTTGACAATTACTTATATAATAGAATTTTTGAATGTTTTATAGAATTAGATAAAGTAATGTAAAAAATAATGCTTACCAAGCTTGTCAGAAAACAAAATTTTACAATTTTGTTTTCTGACAAGCTTATATTAATCTGAGGCTTCAACATGTGTTCAATGTAGTAAAGTATATAGAAAAACTTTTTTTGGTAATCTCTCCTGATTTACAGAGCTTGAATATAAATAAATGCTTAATATGATAGTACATCAATTCACCCCTAAAATTAAGCACCTTTTGCCTGCCCATCCAGCATCTGACGAATCCCACGAATTGGAACTGATTTAATGTATTGATAAAAAAAAACTTAAATTTAAGACATAAAAGCTACGGGAAGACTTTAAGCCTCAAGCATGTAGGAAATAGGGCTACATTATGACAAAAATTGCGTAAAACTGTATTGTTCAGCAATGTATAAAAATAAATCAATATTAAAAGAAAACAGTCTTTTTCATTCCACAATACTGCATCACATTCATTTGCCCTAACAGTCATTTAATAATATTCCTCCTCATCATCTTAGCAAATGTTATCCCGGTTACATATGCTAAGCTTTCACCTAGGAGCTTGCCAAGGTTCGCCGAATACGATCTTGGAGTGGCGAGTCTAATAATTAGCGATTGCCATCTGACTTTCGTAGCCACAAGGGGAATCAGACAAATTTTTCGGATAATGGTTAAACATTCAGCCAACCTCACGGTGTATTCCCTCGCCGAAATCATCATTTTCCTGTAGGTAATATTAATATGATGGTGGGAATATATCACTTTTAAAAGTAGAAAAAAGTACTTTCAACCCTTACCCACGTGTACAGATAACTATATAAATACTTACTTACTTACTTTACTTACAGGTTCTGTAGATTTAAAAA